ACATAAACAGTCTTCCCAGTATCCTGGAAAACCTACAACCAGGAGAAGATAACATAGATGAATGGGATCTTCTAAGACTCAAATCCCTATGCACATCCCGAAACTTCTCCAGTAGGGTAAAAAGGGAAGCCACTGACTGGTGATTAATTTTATAAAACACAATGTATCCCCCCCAAAAAAACCTCAATAAATTTTTTTTAAAGTTGTATCTTTATATTTTGAAAAACCGATGTATAAGAATGATTGTGTGAAACATAGTGTCAATAAAGGAAAGTATGAAGCACAATGTATATAAATTTTGTAAAAAACAAACAAAATCTATGTAAGCCAATTGCCACCTCTTTTTTTCCTGCAGAATAGGTTCCAGTCATCAGCCGAACGCGTTGAACACTTTAACCATTGTATTACCTGGGCTCCTGAACGGAGTGAAACGACTTGAAAAGACACCTGCCTTTCTGATACTGAGCTTCCCCACGAAGGAAGGGCGGGCAGTTAAGAACAACCATTAAAGCGCCCTGGGAGCAGGCTCCCATCTTGCTCGAGAGAATGCAGGCTGGAATAAAGTGTGCTAGTTGCGAGGCTGTGCGCGCAGGAGTGCACGCCCTAAGCAAACGTGTCCTGAGATCCCGCACATACCGGGGACGCGGCGTCCTGGAGCACAGGCTCGTGGCACGCTGCTGTCCTTAGGATATTACAGAGGGGTGCCACCTGAGTCATCGAGTCAATCGCTGCCAGGAGGTGGCAGGTACTGCGGTCCGTCCACTAGATCTGGTCTCCCGCCGAGCAAGCCAGGCTGGCCCCCGACGCTGGAGCCGTGGAGTCATATGCGCGCCCCTCGCGCAATAGGAAGGCCGAATGGGGGCGCGCGGGGACGGGTTCCTGGGGTGGGGGGCGGGACCTGGTGTTGACAGGCGGCGGGAAGAGCCGGGCTCTGATTGGAAGATGGCAGAGTCTGACTCGGCCGCGGTTCAAAGGCGGCGGGCTGGTTTGAAAGTAGTGGGCGGGCTTGATTCTGGGAAATGAGGGGGCGGGGTTTTGGGTTTGACTGGCAGGGACAGACCTAGCTTCTGATAGGTCCAGATATGTGCCTTGGAGACCGGTGGCCAATAGGAGCAGGGGTGGGTCTCTGAAGGGCACATGGGGCGGGGAAGTGGGCGAGGCTTGGCCTTTGACAGCTAGTGGGGAGTTTTGGGCGGAAGGGAGAGGAGCCTGGCCGGACTGAGTGTTCCGGGTGGTGGGCGGGCTTGACAGGTAGTAGGCGTAGTTTGGTTCTGAGCACACAGAGGTCAAATCTTGTGTTTGAAAGGCAGAGGCAGACCTGGCGCCTGATAGGCCGTGGGACGTGTCCTGGATTCGGGTGGTCAATCAACTCGCGGGGCGGGGCTTGCATCTAAGTTGATCTTGTACAGACCTGGCAGCGCTGGCCAGTCCGGCTCCCGCGCCGCCTTTCTCGGACTCGTCTGGCACGATCCTCCACCCGCAGCCATGAGTTGGCGCCGCTTCAGCAGAGCCTGGCTTCCCTGGGAGTAGTAGTCCCTCATCGCACCGCCAGGCTGCTTGCACGATGGACTCGTCCGCCTCCAATCCGCCCGCTAGCACACCCTCGTCCAAAGGTAGGAGCCCTCCAGGACACGCGGTCCGATCTGGGCCTGCTGGCAGCCTTCGGGGTGGGGGTCTCAGCCCATCCGACCTAGGCATCGCCCCAGGCTCTCAATCCCATCGGGTCCCTTAAGATGGGGCTTTGGGCTGCATGCAGGCGGTGGAGCTCCAGGGATTGACAGGGGCTGGGACTGCGACAGGTTGGAAATCGGAAACCTACTCTGACCATCAGTGTAGGTTTTAGGACTGCATCCTGGTGGGGGACCTCCCAGGCAGATTCTTAGCGAGATTTAGGTAGGATTTAACCTTGATCTCCTCCATCTGGACTTTAGCGAATTTCCTGTTTGAGACCTTACTTTACCCACCACCTCAAGCGGGAACCCTGGCTGCTCTCCATCTCAGCCGCTGCCCTGCGAACTTTATGGGGCTTCTTCCCAGATGCCCTTGAACCATGCTCTTCGCACCCCACCCTGCAATGCTCGTTCCCGGAACCGTTCTAGGCTCCTTGTCTGTATGTGGCAGCCCGCAGATCCCCTCCACTCTCAAGGGCTGCCTTTCCTCTCTGGGTGTTTTGTAGCCTCACGTACCCAGCTCCACACCCAGCTTATGGCCTGGGTCTTGTCCTCCCTGCCAGGCACTAGATGGGTTGCTGCCAGGCCTGTTCCACCTGGCAGCCGTGGATCTTGGCCAGCTGCCAGACGCTTTTTCTTTTCTAAGTTATAGGCCTTCCTGGAAATTTTTGTGAGGTGGTGGCTCAATTGCAGTGGGATTTGTCATGCACAGAGGGGGATGGCAGGCTGAGAGGGTAAAATAGGGGTTTTGTTTGCTGTTGAAGTATGACGAGATGTTTTTGGCTTATCAGAATCGCAGGCTGGGGTGTGTGAGAAACTTCTAAACCAGAAGTGGTTGTAATGATTTGGCTGCCTCTTCCAAGAAGGCCCTTTTACTACCCTGGGACACAAGAAAAGGGGAGTAATCACATCTTCCTCCCATGGTATTGGAGTGAGAGACAGCGCATGTTCCAGGATGTGTAAAGACGTGGAGAATGTTGTGAAGAGCTCAGCATAGTTCCTAGAACCTCGAAGGGGCTCAAGAAGAGGTGTGCAGGACTGTGCATTTCAGTTGTTCTTTTTGAAAAGGCCTCAGATATGCAAGGTCAAAGGATGCTTCCATTCGAGTTGCAGCTGTAGAGTGAAATAGGCCATGTGGTTGTTGTTGGGTACTGACAAGTCATCTATGACCCATAGTAGCCCTAAGAACAACAGATCTGAACCCTGTCCGGTCCTGTGCCATCCTCAAGCTTCCTGACACATTAGAACCCACTGTGGCAGTCACTGTGTCAATCCACCTGGTCGAGGGTCTTCCTCTCTATTGCTGAACCTTTCACCTTTCTAAGCATGATGTCTTTCTCCAAGAAATAGCCCTTTCCTAACAACATGTCTGAAGCCCGTGTCAGGGCTCTATCTCCTCAGATGAGCACTCTAACTGCAAGACATGTTAATTTGTCCTTTTGGCAGTTAGGAACACTTAAAATCCATTGCCCTCAATCTAGTTCTGATGTATTGTATAGCCACCTGTAGGACAGAGTAGAACTGCCCCATAGGCCTCCCAAGACAAAATCTCCACAGGATGAGGACCGATGGGTGTAAGCTTGGTTGCTTTAACCACCATATCACCAGAATTCCTCTAGGGGAATTGAGTGGGTCCCGTGTGTTCCGTGTAAGGACTGTAGCATTTCTGGCCTGTAGGAGATGTAAAGTTCTGAGACAGGTGTGGCTCTCTTGGTGACTTGGGTGGCTATAGGCAAGACCCTGGCTTGGTGGACAAGGTAATTATGTTTTACATAAGTGGGAGGCTGGATCCTTGACTGTGGCACAACGGTTGTGAGTAACTTGGAGAGATCTTGCTGGCGGGAGAGGGGAAAGCCATGCACTGCATAGACTTCATGGATCTTGGGAACCAGTCAGCTCCACACTCTGGGGTGTGGTGTGGCTAGTGTTTTCATGGTACACAAGGTTCCAGTCAGCAGCCGCTTGGCCTCCCTCTGAACCCCTGGTGCAATACTAAGGGGGATGCTTCCCACACTTCCAGTTGGGTGCTCGTCAAAAGAGAGTTGCAGGGCCAGGAGTGGAAAGGCACTGTGGGTGGTGGCCAGAGGCCAGTGGGTTCCGTGCTGTACTCTGGTGCTTCTGTGACCTGAAGCTGAGAGTGCTGCACTCTCTGGGCCTCTGCAAAGCTAGGGTGAGTTCCTACCTTTCACTATTGGCCAGTCTGTGGGAACAGGCATGTGGGTGGGGTGGACACAAGGTCACAAGCCTCCCCTGTCAGCCTCCAGACATGGTGTCCTTCACCAAAAATGTGATGAGTACTCTTACTGAGCTCTTTCCCATGTGACATGTGTCCTCTCTCTGGTATCCCTCTCAGTGCCCTCAGTCCCATTTCAGAGATGATGACACTGAGGCTCAGAGGCATTAGGTGCCCTGCCTGAGGCCGGCAGCTGGTTTGGTTGGAGCCAGGCTAGTAGCCAGGACAGTGTCTCCTGTGTGGCTTCCTCAGTTGGCTCCTGTACACTATTCTTGTACCAGATGTTTGAGCCCTGTGCCCAGAAGCCCTGCTAGCCAATTTGAGACCTGGAGAATACAGGAGGGCAGAAGCCTTGCCTTTGTGTCTGTGCACAACCATTTATAGTTGATACAAGATGTACTCTGTAGTATCTGGTAGATGCCAAAACTGGGGCCAGGTGAGGGAGATGCCAAACTGAACCCACAGAGTTGGGGTCCTGACCGAGAGCTCTCTACATCTTCCCAGTTCCCTCAGTGGTTTCGGAACAGATCAGGCCTTGGCCATTGACTGGGTTGGTAGCATAGTCCTTTACATACTAGGCCATAATTCACCTGGTAGCTGACTTTGAAGAAGCTTTATCTTTGCACTTCCTTCCTTGTGGCAGGTGCTCGTCCCACCCTCTTTGCCTCCCTGGTCCTCTGGGTGCTGTGCAGGTAGAGAGTTTTCTACGGGTGCAGAAGGCTTCTGGCCACGAGGCCCATGCCTCTTCATCTACATAGTGCTGTCTTTCTGGCTGTTGACTTTGAGTTCAGCGGGTAGGAGGACATTTGGTAACATGACCCAGTCTGCTGTCTGCGTGTCCTGTTTGAGCTCGCACATGTCCTGTCCTGTTCAGCGTGTAGGCCTCAGAGCCCTGCCCCAGCGTGCTGCTGTATGAGCATCCCTCCCTGTAAACTCTCAAAAAGGTCTGGTGAGCTCAGACTGCCCCAGTTTGCCAGGGGGGAGGGGAAGCTGTGAGACACCCTGCTGTCCCCCCAGGTGACAGAGTGGTGCTGTCAGGATGTCCCCCACTCCTGGAGTGGGACGCTGGAAGCTATCAGCTAGCCTGAGGTTGAGGCTGAAGGGAGCAAAGTTCTCAGCTGCCTGTGTGGGGAGAGGCTGGGCAGTGGGAAGCTTCCGGTGGGTGAGTCATCGGGCACTGGGTGCTGAGTCACCCCCAGGCCTGCTGGCTAGCTGGCTATTACTAAATGCCAGGTGGGAGAAGGGCTTCATATCTGGCCTCATAGGCGGGCACCTAGCTAGCAGCACCTTCCTGGGCCGTGGCTGGACCAGGCTTCCTGAATCGGTTCTCCAGGATCTGCTGGCCCTGCCCAAAGGCTTCCTCTGTTAGGCAAGGGACTCTTGTTTACCACGCAGGTGGTAGTGGCTGTTGACATCCTTGGCACAGGGGACTCTTTGGGAGGTCAGAGGTTGTACAGGGGTCTATGGACCAGTATGGACTGGGCTCTGGGAGAGATAGTTGGGAGAAGTTAGGAGCTCAGGTCTGGCACAAATCCCAGCTGGATGAATTTGGATATGTCAAGCCCTGAGCAGTTTGTACAAAATTTGGATTATTTATGCACCCCTCTCCCTTTTTGGGTATGGCCCAGCTTACAGAAATGCCTTGATTTCTTCCCCTGCAGATGGGTAGGTGGATCACCCACCTGCTTATCTTGCTGGTGACTACAAGGATTAGTGCAGGAGCTTCACCCCATTTCCTGAGAACACACACTGGGCACATGAGGGCAGGCCCTGGCCTAGCACCATGGAGCAGGAGCTGTCAGTGGCTGGGCTCAGATTCGAATCCAGATTGAGAAGCTTCCTTGCTTGGGGGAATCGTGTCCTCTCTTTGACCCTTGGTCTTCTGTAAAGTATGACTAAATGCCCCTCCTCGGCAGGTGGGAGTGCAGACAGAGGTAGTGCTATCACGTGGGTGCCATCTGTTATTATCTTACTATTATGAGTATGCTGCTGCTATTAATTTGTGGGTGAACAAACAGCACTTGTGAGAGATCCCCTAGATTTTAGGATGCTGTTCGTGCTGCTGGAATTTGCCAGACTCCAGAACCCTTCCCCATGGTCTGCACTCTGAGGCCCGAGCTTTTTATCACCGCTAGGCTTTCCTGTAGGGATCCGGGGGGCAGGGGCACCTGGCTGTGCCTGCCGGCAGCATCACCCCTCCTTGTGGCATCCCAGGGAAAGCTTTCTGGGCTGTTAGTTATAGGCTTGATACTGGATGCAGATGTCGCAGTGACTCCTGAGCCCATGGGGCCCTGTCTTAGAACAGGGTTGTGGAGAAGTAGCAGTGGGTGCAAGTTCTTTCAATAGATGTTAGGTTGTACACACTTATGTTTATTGCTGTGTTGTTCACAGTAGCAAAGAGATGGAAACAACCCAAGTGCCCACCAACAAACGAATGGATAGAGAAGCTGAGGTGTATCCACACAATGGAATAGTATGCACCATTGAAAAACAAGGAACTCATAAAATATTATACAGAATAGGTGACCCTGGAGGACATTATGCTGAGTGAAATATCTCAGTCACAAAAGGACAAATATTGTATTATGCCACTGTTATAAAACAGGACTGACATGGGGGTTCGGGGAAACTAAGAAAAGAAGGGATAAATAATGTACACTGCATTGAAACAGATGAGGGAAAGAACAGTTTAAATGGAATATATGATTAG